GAACTCTAAAGCAATCCTAACAAAAACCAAAAACTAATAGCCAGTAAGTCAATAAAGGAGACAAGATGGAATCATAAAATAGTGAGTTGATCTAAAAGAAGGCAGAAAAAGAGGGAAAAGGAAAAAGATAACAGATAGGACAAATAGGAAAATAGCAAGATGGTTGATTTCTTTTTTTCCTTTTTTCTTTTTATTGAAGTATAATTGAAGTATGATGTGTTAGTTTCTGGTTTACAGCATAATGGTTCAGTTATATATATATTATATATTCCTTTTCATATTCTTTTTCATTATAGGCTATGTAAGGTATTGAATATAGTTCCCAGTGTTACACAGTTAGGTCCTTGTTGTTTATCTGTTTTATATATAGTAGTTAGTATCTGCAAATCCCGAACTCCCAATTTATCCCTCCACCCTGTGTCTCCCCCTGGTAACCATAAGTTTGTCTTCTATGTCTGTGAGTTTGTTTCTGTTTTGTAAATGAGTTCATCTGTGTCATTGTTTTAGATTCCACATGTAAGTGATATCATATGGTATTTTTCTTTCTCTTTCTGGCTTCTTCACTTAGAATGACAATATCCAGGTCCATCCATGAAGATGGTTGATTTAAATACAACCATATTCCATATCAGAAGTCACATTGTATATAAATGGCCTAAACACCTTCATTAAAAGGAAGAGATTGGGTACAAAAGCAAGACCCTACTATATGCTGCCTACAAAAAATCCACTTCAAATGTAAAGACACATATAGGCTAAAATGATGGAAAAAGATATGCCAAGCTAACACTAGTCAAAAGAAAGCTGCAGGGGTTACATCAGTATCAGACAAAGTAGATTCCAAAGCAAAAAATTTTAACAAGGATGAAGAGTTTCATTTCATAATGGAAAAGAGCTCAACCCCTCAAAGAACAATCTTCACTGTTTATGCATTTAGTAGCAGAGTTTCAAAATACAGGAAGCAAAATACAGGATAGAATTGGAATGAGAAATAGTCAAATTCACAATTACAGTCGGAGATTTCAATGCGTGATAAAACAAGTAGATGAAAAATCAGGAAGGCTATGGAAGACTTGAACAACACTATCAACAAATGTAGCCTAATTAACACAGAACACTCTACCCAGCCAAAGCACATTACACATTCTTTCTTAAGGACACACAGAACATTTATCCAAATAGACCATATTCTGGGCCATAAAACAATATATTCTCAATATATTCAAATATATTCAAAAAGATTCAATAATACAAAGTATGTTCTATGACCAAATAAAATGAATTAGAAGTCAGAGTCAGAAAGATACTTGGAAAATGCCCAAATATTTGGAAACAAAGCAACACCCTTCTAAGTAATTCATGGATCAAAGAAGAAATCAGAAAGAAATTATAATATGTGGCTTCTTAATTTACATTTCCATTGAGTGAAAAAAATTTACTCCTTAAATGCTAATTTATTACACTTCCTCAAATCCCTTCTGTTTTTCCTATCCAATCATCATGCAGAAGCAGTCTTGACATTATTTTTTAAAGTTTAATATATGTATTTTATTTCTGGAGATCTATCTTCTGTCCCTAGTGAGAAGGACTGTTTTATAATGAGGCATCTTTGTCCATTTGAAATGGAGCAGGACCCTATGGAGCCTTCCCAGGACAGACTCCCCCATGCCCATGTCCTCCACCTGCCTTTTGTCTGTAGAAAAATTTTAGTCAAACAATACATTTAATCAGAGAAATGAGAAAATGCAGAAATAAAGGAAAAGCAGTCAGACAGAACAAAATAATAATAGTTTATTCATCAAGCAAAGTCAAGGACCTTTAGTTCTCACTCAAAGGCTATAGATGATATTCTGAGCCATATCCTTTGAGCTGTTTTTTGTTTGTTTTCTGTGGTTTTGTTGTTGTTGTTTGGAGGGGGAGGTAGTTAGGTTTACTTATTTATTCTTAGAGGAGGTACTGGGGATTGAACTCAGGACCTTGTGTATGCTAAGCATGCGCTCTACCACTTGAGCTACACCCTCCCACTCTGAGCTGTTTTGAAGATACTGAAACCCCCACCATATAGTTAACTACATGATGACCAGACTGTAGCCATGACACCAGTCCTGCTAACACCCTGACTTTAGCAAGTAAAACTGATTTGGGACTAATGGCCTTTGGAAATAAGAGAATAAATTGTGTTAACTTTAAGTGGCCAAGTTTGTAGTAATTTATTACAGAAGTAATAGGAATCCAAGACAATTACATAAGAGGCTTTTCAGGGACAAACATGTGCACATCATTTTCACTCACATCCCATTGAACTTAGTCACACAGCCACTCCCATCTCTCTGGGGTCTGGGGAACGTAATCTCTCCAAATGTCAGGAATTAAAAAAAAAGAAAGAGCATTTGGTGACTATCTGGCCAGTCTCCTCCATAGCCCTTTATGGAAACTTCCAAACCATGGATCCCACCAGTCAAACTGAGCATCTGTTAATGCCTCAAGAGCACCAGGCTCCTGCCCCATTACAATGACTGCGGTCTCAGTCTTGCAGTGAATCCTGTGGTGGGTGATGGTGATTTCACCTGAGTTTCTGAGACCCTCCCATACCAAGTTTATACAAGATCCCCATTCAGTTAAGTACAAGAGAGCAAAAGAGATACCTTTAATGATTTAGAATGTAGTGTATGCTGCCAAGATGCCTTTAAAATGGGGATACACATGTTCTGACTTTACTCTTTAGAAACTGCAAGGCAAAGGAAATTGTGTAAATAGGGAGATCAGAGATGTGACTAGAAATGTGGTTGTAGAATATAAAAGAATAAATAATTCAGTACCTTTTCTAAATTAACAAACAGAAGGAAACCTCAAGAGGTCATTTGGTCCAACTCTCTGCTTGTAGAAGACCCAGATAGAAATCATCCCAGATGGGTCATGGGTGGGGGCTGGGAGGAGATGGAGAGTGGTAGAGACAGAAAGGTATCCTCTGATCTGTTCCAAAATCTTTAAGCTTGGAGAAAGTTGTATAGATCTTTTCAGTTTTGTCTGAGTCCTCATGGCTGATACTCAGTGTAGTGTCTGCTGGGTGCCTTACACATAGAAGACCTGCTGGCACCCAACTCAGCTGTCTTCTGACTCTGAGGCATCGGAAAACTCTGAACCTTAGTCATACCCCAAGGAAAACTAAACCTCAAGACTTCTGCCTGGTGGGGCTGAACTGCTGGTTAGAAGGGTGTAGCCCTCTGAGTCCTAAAGCTGAGCATGAGCAAGTACGTCTCCCTACCATGAACATGGGCCTTAGTGCATCTGATGCCCCATTCTCTCCAGCCCTAAAGTATGAAGAGAGGAAATATAGACCCATGTGACTGTCCACCCCTTCCTCTTCCGTTGCTTCCCCTTCTCCCCATCAGGGCTAAAAGGGGCTTGCACTTCTGTCTCACTCTCCACTTCCAGCCCCATGGCAAGGTCTTAGGGGCAGGCAAGAGTATCTTGTTTCCACGGTCACGGAACGCTATGTTATAACTAATTCCACCAGCTGAGTATCTTGCAAATGAGAGGAAGGGCAGCGCTTTCTTGCTCTAGGGCAGTAAACCTCTCGACTCAGGACAGCAATTGAAAGCTAGGGAACACAATTTCAGGATATATTTATACTCAGTATTTTAATGTTTACAAAAATAAGTCCTGTTTCACTAAGTGACAAACCAGTACTCAAATGCTTCTGTCTGACTCAAGTCTTTGCGCATGAAGTCATCCTTTAACTTTTTTTTTTTTGCTCAAAGTCAGCCTTGCTTTGTAATATATCTTCTAGCTTTTAAATTCCATTTTGTTGCAATTTAGTTAAAATTATTCTTTGAGGTTCCATTAAGGAGTTACGATGGACTTATTCCTGCCTTCAAGATTTAAATCTTTTGGAGTTCTGCTGGCTCTAGTCCTTTTAGTCCCACTCTCAACCTTGGACTTTTTTGCTTTGTAAATGAACCCTCCTTGAATCTCTTGAGTGTGACATCTGTTTCCTGTTAGAATCCTGACTGATAGACAGACAGGAAGTATGTGACTCCACTGCTTGAATTTACGGGGCAGATGGCTAGCTGAGTCATGCGCCCATCCCGAGTGTGGCGTTGTTGCTGCCCAGCCCAGGGGTTACTGTCATTTCCCTGACCCCTTGTGTCAGGACAGTTCACATGACTGAACCTGAGCAGAGATGTTCCTGCCTCCAGGCCTGACCCACCAGAGCTTCCCACCCGATCCTGGTGCTTTCTCTGCCCTGTTCAACAGCATCTGAGCCTCCTGGGCAGACATTCCTAATCATTTTTTGCGAAGGAGGCCTGAATTCCTTCTCATAATCCTTTTTTTAATAAACTTTTTACTTAGGAATAATTTTAGATTTACAGTGAAGTTGCAAAGATAGTGTCTTAGTCCATTTGGGCTGCCATAACAAAATGTCATCAACTGGGTGGTTTATGAACAGCAGAAATTTATTCCTCACAGTTCTGGAGGCTGGGAAGTCCAAGATCAAGGCATCAGTAGACTCGGTGTCTGGTGAGGGCCCACTTCCTCACAGAGAGCATCTTCTTACTGTAACTCACATGGCAGGAGGGGTGAGGGAGCTCTCAGGGGTCTCTTTTGTCACTCATGGGATGCACTAATCACCTCCCAAAGAACCCACCTCCTAATACCATCACCTTGGGGTTAGGATTTCAACATATGAATGTGGAGGGGCATACACATTCAGTCCATTGCAATAGTAGGATTTCCATATACTCCCCACACAGTTTTAGTTTCCTCTACCATTATCATCTTACGTTACTGTGGTATATTTGCCAAAACCAACACTAGTACAGTATTATTAAGTAAATTCCAGGCTTTATTCAGATATCCCCAGTTTTTCCATTAATGACCCTTTTCTGTCCCAGGACAGTAATCCAGGATATCACATTGTCCGTAGTTGCTGTGTCCCCTTAGTCTCCTTTGGTCTGTGGCAGTGTCTCAGTCTTTCCTTTTTTTCATGTCTTTGACAGGTCCTTTTGAGGAGTGAGTACTGGTCAGTTATTTTGTGGAATTCCAGAATAATGTTTTAAATGCATGTAATGGGAATATAAAGAAAACAAGTCACATTGAAATGTAGGTATTGGAATTTTTTTAAATTGTGATATAATAGTATATGTGCTTTTTTAAATTAACACATTAAATAACTGGATCTAGTAACTACCTTAACTTTAAAACAGTGGTGAGCATAAACATTATTTTGAGATTCTGTAACAACTGTAATATAACATGAAAATATCTGTGAGTTGTCTTGGAGGCAGTCCTGGGTACCACTAATACTACTGTGATTTTTTTGCCGATAGTAAAGGCTGGAGAAAATAGCGATATAAATTTTTTCCATCCAAGTTTACAGATTCTCTGAATTTTGTGGCCTCCGTGACTGCGTCCTGAAAGGGATGGCAGAAAACCACGAGATGGGAGACCTGAGTTCCTGAATATCTGCATACAGCAGGGACTCCTCTTCCAAACTATCCCCCATTGCCAAACACATTTTGCCTAAGTAAGAAATCATATGAGGTTATACCATTGAGGTTTTATGTTTGGGTTTTTTTTTAAATGTTTATTCATTTATTTTTTAATGTAGGTACTGGGGCTTGAACCCAGGACCTCTTGCATGCTAAGCACTGGGCTATACCTAGCCCCCTGTAGGTTTTATGTATGTCTATTAAAGCAGTTATCTCAACTAACATGGCTCTTAACCTCTAAATTTTATATACATACATGTAATGACTAACAATACAAAAGCACATACATTTGTATTAAATGAAATTTCTTTTTCTTACGAGTAACAAAAAGCTTAAAGAAAGAGATGTTACTAGAAGAAAGCTGAGATATCTCACTGGATACAAAGAGAAGTTAAACCATCAGTCTTCTCAAAGGGCTGGGGTCAGAGCAGCTCCAGGAACCGCAGCAACAGCATTCTGGGGTGCTTGCCTCTTATGATAACACATTAACACAACTCAGCTTCCAACTCAGTGGCTGCATGTCTCTGCTAAGATTCTTCAGCAGAGGAATCTCATAGGCCCAGGCAGTTTGAGTCCGATGTCCTTTTCTTGTCCAGTCACCCCTGACCAGGGGACCATGATTGAAACATGGCTTTGGGTTTCCACTATCTCTTGAGTCGGACAGTTGTTCTAAACAAATAATAACAATAGCATTGAAACAAATATCTGAGCTTTTGCTTAAGCCAGATACTCTTCTGTGTGCTTTATGTGGATTGTTGTAAATTTCCTCAAACCCTCTGAGATAAATATATGCTATTATTCCCATTTTAACAAAGAAGAAACCAAAGAACAAAAAAGCTCAGAAAAATGTTCAAGGCTTTATGATAATTAAATGGCAAAGCTGAGATTTATACTCAGGCCATCTAATTCCAGAGCCTATATCGCTGTTGCCGTATTACAGATGAGGAAACAGGCTCAGAAAGACAGCTTGGCTTGCCCACAGTTCAGGATACAGGGCCAAGATCTGAACAACAGGAGACTGTCCCCAGCGCCCACATCCTTTTCTATCTATTACAGGTAAAGGAGAGGTGGTGGTGGAGGCAACTCCTGGACCTGTCTTGAAGGATGGATAGGGTTGGGAGAGGCCAAGATGAGAAGGGAAGTCAGTTCAGGCACTGAGAACAGAGACAGCCTGACACTACCTGTACATACCAGAATCTGGGTATCTCCCCTTCCTGGGCCAGACCATACTCTGATTCTTTTTGCTACAGTGAGAGGGAAAGTTTAGCATCACAAATCAAAGGGTTTCCTAGACCTGCCGTATTATTCCCTACTGAATACAGTGTCCAAACACTGCTTCAAACCCACTGCTGAACTGACGAACTCCTTTATCTGGACATTCTTGGGCCTGGCTGGGCCTGACCAACAATACCAAAGAGAGAAACAGAAGAGGGGGCCAGGGCCTGTGGCTGAGCCTCTGTGGGGGATTTCTAGGCCCTTCGCTCTAGGAGCTGGGAGGGTTTCCTGATCCCTGAAAGTTTCCTGTCTTGGGACTCCTATGACAAAGGTTGAGGCCAGTTCATAAGATTCCTGGGGCTTAACCTCATTAGTCTTTGCTGGAACAATTACTTCAGAAAACATATTTCCAGAAACCTGTTAATAGTCCCACAGAACTTTTTATTAAAGCTGCAGTGCCTCACTCACTGTTGCACATAAGGTTGTACAATCCAACTACCGAACTGAAATTTCATCCAGGAGAACTCATCTGGAATTGAAAAATTATAAAAGCCATATTTGTCAGTATAATGAACCTAACTGTCAGCATTAAGGTTAACTATCTGTTAGTTGATCAACAGAATAAAGTGACAGCTCTAAAAAAAATAATGTGATATGATTTAGAGAAGACAAGGGATTTCTCAACTCCTGATTCAGTCTTCAAAAGATGAACACATACTATTGATGACAGTGCACTGGGAGTAGAAAGAATATCAAAAAATGATTTGAAGTTGTTAAGTTTTTGTTTTTTGGATTGAGTACTTTTCCTGGAGATATCTTGAGTCATCAACATTCTTTGCAGACAAGGACTTTAAAAAATATTCCAGATTCCAAAATACAGAGAAAAGTAGAAGTGAAAATCTTCACACATGCATGAATGAAAAGTAGGGGAAGACCTTAGAGAAGTAGTAGAAGGTCTTATTTGGGAAACAGGATTTTCTACTGTGAAGGCAGAAATTATTAACCAGAGCAACAATAGGTTACATGCTGCATATAGTCCAATAATTGTGTAAAATCTTTTAGAATCCTTTTCTCTGTGATCTAAAAAACACAGCTCCATCATAGGTTGCACAAAAGTTGTATTCTTGAAAATCTGAGTAAAAATGTCATTTTTTGAAATTAAATACTTTAAATATCTGAAAGTTTTCTGACTTTAAAATGAAACGATGGGGAGGATATAGCTCGGTGGTAGAGTGCATGCTTAGCATGCATAAGGTCCTGGGTTCAATCTCCAGTACCTCCATTAAAATAAGTAAATAAAAGATAAATAAATAAACCTACCCCCCTCCCTGAAATAAAGTAAAATCAGAAAGATCTGTGGGTAGAATTCTTCTGACAGGTAGTAGGCAGCAGGATTCTTAGCCTGCCCCACTGTACCTAGAATGCAAATTAAATCATTATACCACAATTTTATTTCAAATAATTGTTTGAAAGATTTGCACTCTTATCACTGTTTTTCTGTAGGGCCCAAATCCTCAAGTGAAATCATGGAATATGACAAAAGACGAGAGAAAGTATATTTAAACAGGGCTTAGTTTCCCTTCTCCTAAACATTTTATATCTGGGCTTAGGGAGTTGGGGAATCTTAAATTTGAGTTGTTACATTATATTAATTATATTATACTATGTTATATATAGTATATTTTCTGACCACTTAAGAGTGTCATATTTCAGGTACTTTTTCATATTTCCTCCAGGTTTTATATCTTGTGACTCCACTGCAGCTCTGTGATGGAGAAATGAAGTCATCAAGTCATCAATACTGAAATGTAACATAGAAATAATTTAATGTAATATATGCACTGCTATTGTTCTGGGCATGGAGCAAAATCAAACTGATCTCTGCATCTCTCCCTCTAGGAACTCATGTTAAATATGGGTAAAAGGAAGTGTGCTAAGCTTTAGTTCAACAATCTTTGGCTTCCAAACAGAATCCTCTAATTTTTGAGGGGGGTGGCGGTGGTAATTAGGTTGGTTTGTTTGTTTGTTTATAATGGAGTTACTGAGAATTGAACTCAGGACCTCATGCATGCTAAGCATGCGCTCCACCACTAAGCTATACCCCTCTCCACCCAGAATTCTTCTAAATAGAATTAAAGGTACTGATATGAATCAGTTAATCTGCATGTGCTATGGGGTCTGGGTTCTGTAGATTATCATGTCACTTCTTCTCTTGGTCCTCAGACAAGTCCAAGATTAGCTGGTTCACTATTGGGGCTGAGTCCCAGGTCTGAATCCTGGGGAATTGGGAGTTGATTGTTTCTCTAAGAGTAATTTTCATCTCTGGAACGTTAGCCTTTCCACCTTCAACCTGCTGAGACATGACTTTTATTTTCTTGACCTTCTAGATATGGTGTCTGTGTTGCTTGCTTGCTTATTAATTTATTTAAATAAGATGTGGTTTGCTTTTTTTAACTCCTAAATTACAGGAAAGGATCAAGGAGTAATGAGATTGACAAATTTATTTTGTTCATCTGATTTGGCCCATTAACTGAAGTCAATAACTTTTAATCTAGAAACTTAATGGAAAAAAATATTTGCAGATATTTATGTAACCTTGGAAGAGGTAGAGTCTTTCTTGGTATTATTACTAAAATAGAAGCCTAATGATGGATCTAAGTACACTAAATTTAAAAACTTGTGCATGCCAACAACATTATAACCTAAAATTAAAAGGCAAAGTTAACTTAAAATATATCTTTATCATCCCAAAAAGGACTTTTAGTCTTAATGTATAAAGAGTTTTCAAAAGCAATAGTAAAAATATAGGCTAAGAACAGAAATAGATAATTCAGAAAGGAAGAAATACAATTTTCAAATTAATGAACAAACAAAAGTTCAAAGTCATTGGTCTTTCAAGCAACACATGTTAAAACGGGGGGAGGGTATAGCTCTGTGATTGAGTGCGTGCTTAGCATGCAACAAGGTCCTGGGTTCAATCCCCAGTACCTCCATTAAACAAACAAACAAATGAATAAATCTAAGTTACTCCCCAAAAAACAGACAAAAATAAAGTGAAATGATTTTAAAAAGAAATACACTAAAACAAATGAGATTTCATTTTTATCTTGTAAATAGTTCAATGAATGTTTTCTTTCATGTCCGCTATGTGGCAGGCACTGTGGTAGGTACAGAATGCCCATGTAGGAAAGCAGTATAAGGAAAAATGGACACTTTATACAGTTATGATGGGAATGTAAATTACTACATCATTTTTAGAGAGTATTTTGGGAATGTGTATTTAAAACTTTTGACATAACAATCACACATCTAAAAAATATTCAGGGATATTTTAAGAGATTTAACTACTAGGATGCGCTTTACTTTTTTTTTTAATGACAAACCAAAGTATAAACAATGTCAATTTCAAACAATGGTGATTGGTTAAATGTACATCTTGCTGAATGCATATATTATGCAGTTATTAAAATTTATGCTGAAGAATAGAAATAAATATATTTAACAATATGACATTACAAAGTATGATCTTTTTAAAATTTTGCTTTGCTTTGGGATGAGGTAATTTGGTTCACTTATTTATTATTGTTATTGTTTTTATTTGATGGAGGTACTGGGGATTGAAACCAGGACCTTGTGCATGCCAGGCATGCACTCTACCACTGAGGCACACACTCTACCACTGAGCTATACCCTCCCCCCATGATAATTCCTTGTTATCAATCATAAAATATATCTTGAGAACTTTGCCCAGAAAGGAAGGCTCAGATATTAATGAACAACTTTATTATTTCAAGGTTGGGTTCTCTACTTATGTGTTTTTTCAGCTATTGATTTTAACTACATAATTACTGTATGTCTTTGTTGATAATTTTAGTTGGTTGCTCATATCTTAAATCCTGTTTTTTTTTTTCCAGAACTAATGATTTTAAATGTTAGCATTTGAGCATGTTTCTGTGCAATGTTCCTGGACTTGGCTTAAACATTGAAATTTAAAATCCTTGGTTCATGATCAGAAGCATTTGAAGTCAACCTATGTGACACTTCTTGACCTTTGTCGCAAGGACACACCTGACCTTCCTACTGGTTGTGTATAAATCCCAGGCATTAATTGTAGCTCCACTCTTCTCTCTCCACCTAAGAAGTGGCACATTGTAGGCATTACCTTCAAACCAAAAACAAAGTATTAGGAAATATTGGCACTTTTTATCAGCAACAAGTTACTGGAACATTCCTCCTGACACTTCATCGCACTACAGTGACACCACATGATGCCTCATGACTCCCAGTGAAAAACATCCCCCTAGGAAACAAGAAACAAAAGACAAAAAATAAAGTCATCCCTGTCATGTTGGAGAATAACCCTTCTTGGAGCAATCATTTAACCTCTCTATGCCTCAGTTCTCCTGACATACAAAATGAAAGCTACAAGTTCTTGTGAAAATATCTGAAAGTTTAACATTATTGTTTTGAGAGCTTCGATTCAATAAGTTAGGACGGAGAACCCACAAAGTAGGGAGGGAATCAAATGTGGAGAGCCTGGAATCATAGGCTGAGGAGTTGGACCTTCATTTAATGGAGACTTCTGAAGATTATTAACAGGGTAATAGCATAATCATGAATATCCGTGTCTTAGGAGGAAAACTGGCAGCAGTGTATAGAATGGTAAGAGAGAGATAGAAATAGTCTTGAGTATTGTAAAGAGCCAGACAAGAGATGCTAAGGGTAATTGCTGTGGAAGGGGATTGGGAGGAGGAATGAGACCAGTTTAAGAGGTAAGGCCAGATAATCGATTACAGAGGCATTAAGATTTGGTTACTAAATGGTGTGACGAGTGAGGGAGAGGAAGGAAGGATTTGAATGGGACTTTGAGGTTTCAGGCCTGAATATCTGAAGATGCTAATGCCATTAACTGAATGGAAGCCAGCATTGCTTGTGGGCGCGTGTGCGTAACAGGAGAAGTGGGGCAGGGGTTAAGGAATGATTCTGTTATATCTCAGTTTCCTGTAGACACCCTTGTGGTGCTATACAGCTCGACAGAGTAGGTCTGGAGACATTCCTTGGTGTAAAGGAAAGGAATACTCTTGTAATGTGAACAGCTCGTTTTTATAGTGCTCAACCATTAGCGCCCCAAACCCTGAAATAGTTATTACCTCACCAGCAGTAAAAGCTTGATTACAGCCCCTGGCTGATGACTGTATGAAGGGCCTTGGTTCCCACAGCTTCTACTGGCAAAATGTTAATTGTGATTAATTATCGTGTGGCACCATACAAAGACTAGATGATTTTCTGTGGCTTCAGGAGGGCTTTTGCTTGGTTTACACGGCTTGCCTCAGGGAAGGAAGTGGACAGCTCCCCGGTGGCCTTCAGCCCTTCCCGGGTCAGAGCCGGCCAGCCACGAGCTGTCCCCAGTCATGTGAGTCTGGGCCAACCCGTCCCTTTAGGTCGCAGGTGCTTCGACCTTGGGCGGGAGCCCCGCTTTCCTTCCGCGCTCTCGGACCCCGGCCCAGCGCCGGC